GAGCCATCCCTGGTTTGACCCAGCCTGGAGACATTTCTGGGGAGGGAAGTCATCTCCTTTGCGAGATCATTCCTTCACCCGGTCTCGGTAACGGCAGCGCTAGGGTTTTGCCGAGTTGCGTTGCCAGGGCAAACCCTGCCCTCTTTCCCCTTTGGCAGCCAAAGGCAGAAAGCTGTGTGGGTGCTGCTTCTTTATCTTCTCGCTTGGCCTACTGGGTGCTGGAGGTCTGGTTTCCCCCGGTCGTGGTTTTATGCATAGCTGTCTTTCTCCAGTTTACCTCTTAAATAATAAATTTATTAATATTATTTCACAGCTCTGTAATTTTCTGAGTTTCATAGCAGATGGTGGGAACCACTGGGTTTCAAACAGCTTGACCCCTGCTAATGACTGAAAATCAGAGCCCCGATTTTGATTTAGGAAGAATCTTTGCACTACCCAAATTTTAGCACCTTTTGGAGGTAAATGGGAAACTTGATGAAAAGACACTGCAAGTTTAATCTCAATAAGTCTACAAAACTCTCCTCCGCCCCGGCAGGTCTGGAGGAGAGGCAGGAGCACTTGTGCAACAGCTGCTTCTTCAAAGAAATCCTCTGAGGAGAAGGGAGGTCCTCTCACATCATCACTCTGAAGGCAGAATTACGCTTTGTTAGATGGCTTGTGGAAGCGGCTGTAAGGGCGAAAAGGAATCGTCCCCTCACGTCTTGATTAATTGCTGAACGAAGCTCACACCACTTGCCTGCCTTGTGGAATGGAGGAGACTTGCATTTTGGGACGTATCCAACCAGTTATGGCCAACTCGCAGCGCAGGTCAGCGTGTGCCGCTGCTGTAGTTACCCCACCTGAAAACCCCCCGGCCTCTCCGTCACCGCGCCGACAGCTCCTTTGGTGACCACGCCACTCGGGTGCTGTTTGCTTCAAAATAGCTCCAGCCTTCTATACCTTACCATAATGACTTCTCAAAGCCCGTCCATCAGGACGTCTCTCCCTCTGGAGGCTTTAAATACCTCCTCCTCATTTTGCAGAAACAGCATGCTGGGTGGCAGCGGAGCAAGTCTCGGGAGCCAGCTGAGCAAGCCCCAGTGGCAGTGCCAGGGTGGGCAGCTTTTGCGAAGATAATGCCTCTGTGAACCTTTGTACAAATATGTTTTGGATTTTTTTTTGATCAATATTTAAAACACATAATACGACCTATATTTTTCCCAAGTCTCGGTCCCTTAAAATGAAAAAAACCCAAAGCTTTACTTCGTCAGCTCCTCCAGGCGCCCTGTCCTCCACCGAGGGTGCAGCACTTTGAAGCTTCCTTGGGGCTGTTCATTTATTTGCAAAAAGATCAAAAGGTCACGCAGTTTCAGCTTGGTGGAGCTTCAACTGAATTACATCATGCATAAGAATTTGCGATTTTCAAGCTAACAAACTTCTCCGAGGATATTTTGCTCGCTTGAGCAGAAAACAGGCTGTGTTAGCAGCTTTTCTGAGCAATGTCCTCTGATAGCAGACCGATGAGTGGTCCTCCACACGTCCCTGGGATGGAGCCCTGCTTCCCACCCTGCCGCAGCCCCAAGAGCCCATCTTCAGCTTTGAGTGGGTCACGGAGAAGGAATATGAGCGTGTAGGCAGTGGCTGAGGGATGGGCACCATAACTGACTCTTGAAGATGTGCTGTGCACACAAACAAGATTCTGAGTATCAGCTGAGGTCCCTCAGACCTTCAGGAAAGGCAGGGCTGGCAGAGTCCCTGACGGCTGCACGTGCCAGCGTGGGGACAGGGGAAGCCCGGCTCCCTCCTCTCCCCTTCCTCGCCGGTAAAGGCTCTGCCGCTGAAACCCACGGGGCCTGAGCACACCTTTATAGGGACCTTTGTGTGAAAAATGCGTCCCAAATATTCTTATTTGCTGCTGCGTGAAAAATGCATCCCAAATATTCTTATTTGCTGCTGCGTGAAAAATGCATCCCAAATATTCTTATTTGCTGCTGCACAGAGAAACACAATTCCCGAGGCGGGGGGAGGGCTTAGAAAAGCTTTCTTGCCCATAAAGACTTTGAATATGTGAATATAACTTTCAGATGCTAAGCAGCTCAGGCAGTGAAAAATTAACTGCATCATAATCTGATTGTGAGGAAGAGTATAACCTTCCTCAGGCGGAAGCAGATTGCTGCGGCGTTTGTTATTAAGCAACGGGGAATTGCTCCGGTTCTGGGCAGGCTTTGGTCCTCCACGCTGTGGGTCAGGGACTGCTGCTGGGCGGGCAGAGGGACAGCCCAGCCTGGCACGAGACCGGCTCAACCCCAGCGAAGCCTCTGTCCTTAGCACTGGAACGTCACGGTTGGAAAAAGCGATCTGTTTTGTCGTGTGGGGGTTGACAGCTGAGCGTGACGACTAATTAC